AACATATTTATTGGGCTTCTATTATGTGCTAAAACAAATGCTAGACAGAGATATGAAAAGACAGCCTGCCCTTAGTGAGATTAGTGTCTGGATGAGAAACAGATGCATAAACTAAAATTACATAATGTAACATGAAAAGTGTTATAATGGGAGTACGCTCAAGGAGTACTGAAGGCATAAAAGTGCCCCAAGTTCTGCACAGCGTAATAAAGAAGGCTTTCTAAAATGACTGCAATGAAGGATAATGAAGTACACAAGAGTTTTTTTTCTTCTTGCTGTTTAGGCTTTAAGTTTTAAGTGGTGAGGAAAGGCTCTTATTTTCTTGTATTAAACCAGACTTTTAGAGACAAGAATCTGTTAAGAGACTACCTGTCTTTTTAAACTGTATTCTCTTTCAGACTACCAAAATAAAATAATCCCCCCAAACCCAACTGCAAAACAGGCTTTGTGCTCTCACAACAACTCAATGTCCTCTGTACATGGAAAAAAAGTAAACTGACTAATAAAACAGAATTGCAAATACTTTATTGTAAAAATCTTATGGATTTTAATCACTGAATATTAGAATTCCTTATATGTCATTAAATACATAGTTAGAAAGTGACAATTAAAAATTTTTTCCCTGCTTTTGCAGTAAGAGTCCCCTATGAAGTCTAACTGACATTTTTTTGGTGCCAGCTAAATGGACACTGTTAAAATTTGATAATGGAGCCCTTAAATAAATTCCTCACACAATTTAGACTTCAGCACATATTAGATAATTTGAACAGGTATTTTACATGAAGCCTCAAGTTTAATACTACTTGACTGTTATATGTCCCTATCTGCAAGAGACAGTTCCTGTTTTAAAGAACTAATGGCAAGAAGATAAGGACTCGCCTTAAAACATCCTAGATACATGCAAAGTAAAAATAATTTTTAATAGTCTTTGCATTTTCACATATTTGATCTTTAGGGAACAGACTGTCATAATGAGATAGTCTATAGACCAGAATTTGTAGACCCTATTCTGCTAAACATTTCCAATTCCGTTGTTTCTATATATCATAAAGATATAACACAAAGTCGGCTAGTATCTTGTTATCTTTACCAGTATAATTTTCCTGTGTTAAGTGATACATCTATAAAAAAGTGTCAGTTCAGCTCTGACAAATTCCTACGTAAGTGGTAGAATTTACCAGTATATCCTGAAAATAGCATAGAATAAACAACCAAGAAAGGTCTATAGCTGAGTTCAGACTATTTTAATTAGTTTTTAGGGTTTTGAGTTTTTTCAGGGGGATTAACCATATTAGAATATGTACAGCACTTTGGGAAAACAGAATTCTTTGCTCTGAGAAGGTCACAGATAGCTTGAAAGAAGTGTCCCTTAAACTTGAGGGATGAGCAGAAAGAATTCACCATGTAGATTAAGGTATTTCATGCTAGGAACTGCACGTATAAGAACACAGTAGCAAGAAAAAATATGGCTCTTCTAACATGACAAGTAATTCAGAATGGCCAAAAGTTCAGATGGCATGTGTGCACTCAGTGCTAGGGGAAGGACAGACAGGAAGTTGAGGCAGAGGATGACAGCTAGAAATGACGCTGGAATGGAAAACAAGGATCAGATTATGAAGGGCTTTAAATGCCATGCTTGAGAAACTGAATCTAGCAAGTATATCAGGGTTTCTCAAAGTGTGGTCCAGGATCACTTGCATTAGAATCATCTAGGGCAGAGATTTTCAAATTGTAGTTTGAGACCCAATGGTCATAAAATTAATTTAGTGGCTTCATTAAGCATTGCCTTAAAAAAAAAAGAAAAAGAAATGGAATTGAATAGAATAGAAAGCATACTGCATGTACTAAGAGTTTAGGACCCATTGGTCATAAAATTAATTTACTGGGTTGGACATGCATTTTCTTTAAAAAAAAATCAAATGGAAAGGAATGGATTAGAGAGTATACTGCATGTAGTAAGAATATACTGCATGTAGTAAGAATGTGTGTACGTGTGCATGTGTATGTATTGAGTAGACAAATAAAATCTATTTCCTACTGTGAGTTGCAGTTAAGAAACATGGATCTAGAGGCTTCTTAAAATGCAGAGCCCAAGGCCCCACATCAGACCTATCAAATTAGGGGAAATGTGGCCTGGATTCTACATTTTTAGCAAGTACTAAGGGATTCCTATGCACATTCAAATTGAGAGTCACTGGTGAAGATGATGTGGAGTCACTGAAGGATAATAAGCAGAGTTCTGAACTGATTCATGTTGGTTTCAGAAGAATCTTTTTGGATGTAGAGTGTATAAACTGCTTGGAGGGTGATCTAGAATAGAGGCAGGAACACAAGTTTAGAGGCTATCAATAACAGTCCAGGCTAAAAACTGATGTAAGCTTACATTCCTACAATGGTAGTGAGAAGAACAGAGACGACTGAGAGATGGTCAGGGTAGATGAACAAAACAGTTTTTCTGGAATAGAGAATGGTTCATGAAGAGGAGCAGTGGACAAGAAGGTAGGAAAGATATGTTGGAGGTACATGTGGAAGATTTCCAATTTAGGGCCATTTCATTTTTAAACTATTTAAGGAGCCATTGCAACTTTTTAATCACAATAATATGCTAAAGCACTGTTCTAATATTATTCTAATGGGTGGGGGCGGGGAGTTAATACAGCAGTTAATACAACAAGCATAGTTGAGATAAAGCAATGTGCCCGAGAGCCAGGCTACCTGTTTTCAAATCCTAGCTCCACCAGGTATTATTTCCTTAGGATAATTTTCAAAAGTGGAAAATTTCTGGGTCAAGAGTATGCTCATTTAAAATTTTGATTTATTGCTAAAGTAAAAGGCCAACTTTTAAATTAAAGTGGCCATCAAGTCTAGGCATAGTATGAAACAGGGATAATGCAGTATAAAACAAGGAGATTATAAATAATAGCTACCATTTATTAAGTATTATTTGTATGTCAAGGAGTAAATGTTAAGTACTTTATGTACACTATTTTATTTAATCTCTGCTTTACAGAAGAGAAAACCAAAGCTTTGGTTACTTAACTTTCCCAAGCCACGTACCATGTACAAGTGGCAATGCTGGAATTCAAATCCAGATCTCCTGACTCCAGTGGAAAGGGCATTAAAAAGGAAAATGCAGGAGTCAAAAGGCAGATGGGCCATCTGTGGAAGTTTGGGGGGTTTTCTGATTTTTGTTTTTACCAATCCAGAACAAGGCATGATATTAATAACATATACTCATACAGCACTTAGAATAGTTCCTAGTACATAATAAGTGCTTTACATATTTTAGTTCATTTAATTCTTATAGCAACCTATGAAGTAGGTACTATTATTATCTCCACTTTATAAATAAGGAAATGAAGGCATAGAAAATATTTAAGGAAAAAAAAATCACACAAGCGGGACTTCCCTGGTGGCCCAGTGGTTAAGAATCCGCCTGCCAATGCAGGGGACACAGGTTTGAGCCCTGGTCCGGGAAGATCCCACATGCCGCAGAGCAACTAAGTAACTAAGACCATGCACCACAACTACTGAGCCTGCATGCCACTACTACTGAAGCCCGTGCGCCTAGAGCCGATGCTCCACAACGAGAGAAGCCACCACAATGAGAAGCCCACACACCACAACGAAGAGTAGCCCCTGCTCACTGCAACTAGAGAAAGCCCGCGCGCAGCAACGAAGACCCAACACAGCCAAAAATAAATAAATAAATAAATTTATTTTTTAAAAAAAATCACACAAGAGTTCAAAGTCTATATTCAATGGAGTTTTTTTAGTAAATTGAAAATAACTTAAATGTTTATTAATAGATGACTAGATAAACAAATTAAAGCCTACCCAAACCACAGAATACTGTTAAAAAGTGAACTAGATTTATAAGTACTAATATGGAAAGATGTTTAAGATATATTCCTGAGTGAAAAGTACGAAGTAGTAGATTAGGAAGTGTAACATGACTCCATTTGTATAAAAAATACATGTGTGTGTATATATATACATGACACATGTATAAAGAAAATTCTAGAAAAATTTACATCAAATTTAACAGTAGTCTCTTACAGTGAGTAATACTGAAGAGAAAGAAGGGAACTTTTGCTTTTTGTGTTATACTAAATAGTATGAAAAATAAAGACCTAGAGAAAAGAGATGCAGACCTTATAATTCATAAAAACACTACTTGTCTATGAGGATATTCTTTAAATTATCATCATATCCCTGAAATTATTTTTAAACATCCACAAAAAACACAAACTAACAATATAAGGATATCTTAAATATGACAAAGAAATCTATTCTTTGAAAATTTTATAGTTGTTCAATACCTGAATTATGCATATTTAAGTGGCTGCAGATGACTTTACAATGGAGACCACTGTAGTGTAGGATGTCAGCTTGGTAGTCATTTTTCTATTCAAGAAATATAGCCCTCACCTATTCTGTAGCAATTGTGGCACCATTACCAGGTGCTACACCAGACAGTGCCATCCCCAACAAAATCCACTGAACAGTAAATATCTAGCCGTACACACAAATATACTATGAAAATATTTTGTATAGCCTCTACTATTTCTATACTACTTCCACATTGGGATTAATTTAAGTTTCACTGTTGAATATGCCCTTGAGTTAAATGCACTCCAATACCTTATAACCACAGTGCCTATTCAATATTCAGAGGGGGGAGTATATATTGTCTGCTGGAGTGGCAAAAGGAAGGCCACATTCCAAAAGAATCAGAATATTTTTGAGAGGGTTTTCTTATAGAAAACAATGACACTCTTCACTGATAGTAGAAAGCCTTGTGTGAATAAGATTTTTTTTTCAACACTGAAGCATTTTAAATATACTTCAATCCTCATTTACAGGTGTAAGACAAGTATATAAGTTAACACAGAACTTAAGACAGCTTTTAAAGCACAGGTTGAAGATACAAATAGAAATCATTTATCACAATAAGTCAATATCCAAATAATAGAAATAATTAAATCAAACATACTTACCATTGAAAGGATTGATTCCTGCCCTTATTCTTGAAATAATAGCTTCTTTTACTTCTTTTTTTTTTACACATCGAATACCCAAATTTTGAAAACTAGAAGGAAAACACAGAACTTTCAAATTTCCTTATAGCTGAATACAAGGACACATAAATGAGGTTTTATTAAAGGATACTGCAAAAATCAAGCATATAACCAGCACTGAAAGGTCATCATAATGTCAGATGGAGATATTAAAAGCATGAAGTACATTTCCAATTGCTATGATAAAGATGTGAGGATAAAAATTGGGGCTATATTTCCAAGAGAACTGTTAAAAGAAAAGCAGTGTATACGTCATCACTTTTACATACAGTATTTTATGGTTAGATCTTACTAATATTCCTGCATCAAATATACCAAAGTGGACAAAGATTAAGAGGAAAGCAACACCAAAAAGCTAAAATTCACCTCCCAAACGAATTCATAATCAAATCAATAAAATCTGTACATTTGATAATGTAAAGCAAAAGTTGTAAAAAGATGCCCACAGGCTGACACCTACAGGTATAGTTTTGCTGAGCTCATAAAAGTGTTGACTACATTTTTTAAAAATGTGCGTAGACTACCAACATTTAAAAACCAGGTAACTGCATATAAACATTCTGGATTTCTGGCTTCTCCTGAACATTTTAAAGGTCTGGCAACAGCAGATTGGCACAGAAACACCTGGCTGGAGCTAAGCACCTGCAGCCCCATTTATACAGGGCTCTGCAGTTTGCTACAGTGCCTGCTAATCCTCTTACACCTCAACCTCTCCACTCCATGGACATCTGGTTTTTGACTTCAAATGACTTCACCGCCAGCAGCAGTGGAATATGTTTTGTGCCTTATCATATGAAGTTATAATAATCATTCATCATAAGAAAGCACCAAACTACATATTTTTTCATTAGAAAGATATTTAATACCAACAATAATATTTGACAAAAGTTTCAAAATGTCATTTATGGAAAATTTCTCAACTGCTACAAATATTACTAATTTGCATATGTGTAGTACAGATGATGGTGGTGGGAACTCCCCTACCACCACCAGTCATACTTGTTCCCACATGGAAAAACCATGACATCATTAAAGTTGGGTGGGTGTGAATAAGGAAGCAAAACTTGGTTATACTAACATTACCATTTGTTCAAACTTGACATGGCCCTTTGCACCAGGAGGTCGCTTGCCTTGTTTGCCCCCTCCATTTGCTGTTGTCTTATTGTTCATGCTCTTCACATTCACCACACCTGTGATTTTGTTAGCACCTAAAATATCTTTAACATTTCCTTCTTCTGCCTCCAATAATTAAAAAGTCAATCTTGAACTTGTAATCCTTTCTTGAAACCCTGAAATCATGATTGTCTTCCTCAAAAGTATTCCACTTCTTTGAAAGATTCTTAGGTTGGTTCTCACTTTTTCTTTGACAAAAGATTTTAAAGAACTCTTTGTTTTTATATATTTATACACTACTTGACAGTTTCATCTGAATAATCATATTTGACTCCTATTCACACACTGAAATTCTGACATGAGGAAACCAAGGATCACAGAGATTATCTGAATCAATTACTCATTCATTCATAGTCATTCAACAAGTTCGGGGGTTCCTACTATGTACCAAAAACTCTGGTAAGTAATGGGAGTATACAGTCCCTCCTCTCATGGAGCTTACAGTCTAGAGCAGGGGTTGGCAAACTATAGCCCATGGACTAAATCTGGCCCACCACCTACCTGTTCTTGTAAATAAAGTTTTACTCGAACAAACTTATTTGTTGGCATATTATCTACAGGTACTTTCATGCCACAACAGCAGAGTTGAGCAGGTACAGCAGAGACCACAGGGCCTGCAAAGCCTAAAATATTTACTATCTGGTCCTTTACAGAAAAAGTTTGCTGAAACTTTTTTTCTAGTGAAACAGACACGAAGTAATCACACACCAAGATGCTAAACTGAAATCATGACAAGTTTTATAAAGGAGATACACATTATGTCACGGGAACCTATGATAGGAGAGAGTTGATCAATTAGTATGCTGGTGATGGAGTCATAGAGAGAAGTGGATAGATTCAAGACCTATTTAGGAGGTACCTGTTAGTGAATTCAACGTGTGCACCTCTGTGAGGAGGTGTCAAGGATGACACCTATGTTTGGGGCTTTTACAGCAACTAGTAAAACAAGGTACACTGGAAGACCAATTTTGAGAGGAAAGAGGTATATATGATCAGGGTAAGATCAAGGTTTGGGGCATATTCTATTTGAGGTGCTTTTGAGCTATTTAAGAGAATATGTCAAAAAGGCAATCACCCTTATTACCATTCCCTACTGAAAGAAACCAGGGATCCTTAGAAACAACTGAAGATTTCAAGGCTTGGGCAAGAAAAGTACGAGTAAGTCTTGAACACTTCGCTGTGTCAGAAAGTAAAGAAGTGCTCGAAGAAAGATGGGGACATGTCAAAAGGACACAGGAAACAGTTTGAAGGGGCTTGCCTTGGTCAAGTTTGGGTCAATTTGAAAATCAAAATAATAATGCTAGTAATGGACTAGCATTCAATTATAATACACTGAATAAAAGAATCCATGAGTCTATAGTGTTATTTTTTCAACTGAGGTAGGGGAAGATGGAAAAGTTCTTTACAATAGAATGCCAATTAATATCACCAATGGGAAAATATAGTAGTACTAATATAGACTAATATGGCGTCTCCTAAAACATTATTTTGAGAACAATACAGCATCACCTCTGTAGATTTCTCATCCAAAATATTTCATGTTAACATGAAATTATTATTCATGGTAACATGGACATAATCATGAGCAACCATTCAGACTAATCCACATTGAACAACATTCTTCAAAACAACCTAAACTCTTCAAAAATGTTAATGTCATGAAGGACCAACAAAGGCCAAGAAACTGTTCTAAATCAAAGGAGACTAAATAAGCATGACACCTAAAAATAATGTATGATCCTTAACAGGATCTTGGATTGAGGGGAAGGGTAGGACAGCCCTAACAGGCATTATTGGGCATCACTGGACATAATTAAGGTAGTCCAAAAATTTAACTGCCTGTAACTAGGATTGAGAAAGAACAGCCAGAGAAGTAAGAAGTAAAACAGGAAAGTTTGTTCTCACTAAATCAGAAATCAAGGAATAATAATGTTCCAATAAAGGAGTAATCTACAATGTAAATGCTATTGGGAGGTCAAATAATATAAACAGGAAATACTTCTTGCCAAGTTTGTATAACTAGATAGTTTATGTTTTGTGTTGTTACTGAAAGAGGAATATTTTTAAAGTATACTTTCTAAATGGTTACTGCTAGTATTTAAGGAGGCCACTAATCTTTTCCTGTTGCAATTGGTTTCACTTTTCCTCAAAGGCAACACATATTCGTTACAAAAAATGAATTATAAAATAAACACCAGTTAAAAGAACATAAAACCCCACAATTCTTCCTACCCAGAGACAACTACTATCAATACCTTAGTGTTTATACTACTATGTATATGTACACATTTACTTTTGAAAAAATTATTTATCACGTACACCTGAAACTAAAACAACATTGTTAATCAACGATGCTCCAATATAAAATGAAAATTAAAAAAATTATTTATCACACATTGTTTTAAACCCCTATTTTATTTATCTAAATATTGGGAATATCATTCTATACAAAGACATATTTGCAAGGTTATTTTTAAGGCTACATAGGAGTACACTGCATGGATATACCAGTTTATTTAACTAGTCCCCCTTTGTTTATTATCTGGATTGCTTCTAACTTTTTGCCATCACAAACAAAGCTTCAATGAACATCGTTATAGCTAAATTTCTGAACATGCTTAATTAGAAATTATTTCCTCAGGATAAATTCCTAGAAATAGAATTGCTAGTTCAAGAGACATTCATATTTTTCAGGCTTTTGCTATGTAGTTGTTAAAAAGCCTACCAGAAAGATTATATTTATTTACACTCTCACCAATAGGATGAATGGATCCATCCAGCAGCCTCAAACACAAAGTATTACATACTTTTTTAAAATCTTAGGACTATTGCTGTATGTTAATTTTATAACTGCCCTTTTCAAATAATAATTCCAGTTTTCCAGTTGATTTTCTCACATCTGGCAATTTTTAAGTTAACTATCAATGAAAAGAGAGTAAAAATTTATGAAAGAAAATATTTCATAAGTTGTTCAAACTAAGAAAGAAAATCGCAGCATAAAATAAGTTTGTTTACTTTTAGTTACAATAAAGAAGTATTCCTGCTACCAACATGGACTGTGTCTACTAATAAAGAATGAAAGGGTAGTTCCAATGCAAACGATAAGAAAATGTAAATGTATACTATAGTAAATAGAAGTACAGTGAGGAATTAGTTTATTCTGCTAAAAAATAACAGAGGTACATGGATAGGAATCAAGAGCATTCATTCTATGCTTATCCTATTCCTAAAAATGTCTGTGACTGTGTACTTACAATAAAGGTCTGCGTTCTTGTCCAAATTCTGCTTCATAGTAGCCATCTCTGCAGTCTTTTCCTACTAAATCATGAGGATGAGGTTTATGTGGGATATTCTTTGTTACTAATGTAATTCTCACTTTTCCTTTTCCATAGTAGTTCATAATCTGAAAAGGGGGGAAATTAAATATATGATCCATAAATACATCTCATTAAGAACTGATCTACAAAATGAGAGTTCAATTTATATAATATAGTTAGCACTGGATAAATAAAGTCCAATTGACTGGCAACTGCAGTTTGGATGAAACTTTACAGAGAATACCAGTAGAGGAGAATTTTACCTCTCAGTTCCTTGGCATATTATTTTGTGCCCTAATTCAATTGGTCATATCATCTGATTTCTGCTTATTTTCCTTTGAAAACAAGTAAAATTACACCAAAATATTATCACAGAGCATGAGGAAATTCTAAGATGTTGAGTCACTGAATGCCATGCATTATATTCATTGTCATACCATAAACATTCCTTCAAAGTATATATTTAGGGCTTCCCTGGTGGCACAGTGGCTAAGAATCCACCTGCCAATGCAGGGGACACGGGTTGGAGCCCTGGTCTGGGAAGATCCCACATGCCACGGAGCAACTAAGCCCGTGCACCACAACTACTGAGGCTATGCTCTAGAGCCCGCAAGATACAACTACTGAGCCCGCGTGCTGCAACTACTGAAGCCGGTGCACCTAGAGCCTGTGCTCCACAAGAGAAGCCATGGCAATAAGACGCCCACGCACCGCAACAAAGAGTAGCCCTCACTCGCCGCAACTAGAGAAAGCCCACACACAGCAATGAAGACCCAATGCAGCCAAAAAACAAAAAAGTATATATTTAAGCCATAATGGAAATGATACCACACAAATATGATCATTTTACTTAATACATTACATTCCATTTTACAAAAATATTTGTTAATCAGTAAGCATACTGCAAGTGTTCACTGTATAACAGGCAATAAATCAAGTTGAGTTTTGCAAAATTAAGTTTTCACACAGAACGCTGAGAAAGAAGAGAAGAGTTAAACATGGGAGAGGAAGGAAGCATGTGGGGATGAGCTAATGTTTAGGTTGGAAGCTAGCAAATTTGCAAGCACAAATGACAAGGCAGTTAAGTAAGAATAGGTGGTTTCACAGGTAAAAGGGCATTAAAATTTTGAATTTAAACTTAATTTGAACAGTAACCAGAAAGTATTTATTGCTTTTCTGAATAAAAGAGAAGGTAACAACTTAAATGTGTAAGGCTGGGAATTCCCTGGCGGTCCAGTGGTTAGGATTCTGTGCTTCCATTGCAGGGGCACAGGTTCGATTCCTGGTTGGGGAACTAAGATCCTGCAAGCTGTGTGGTGCAGCCAAAAAAAAAAAGAAAAAAGAAAAAAGCATAAGGTAGACTAATGTAGAACTCAAGCTGCAAAGTTGTTTAGAACATACTGGAATGGTAAGGATATAGACCTCAGAAATATTAAAGAGAATGTATAGAATAAGCTGAATTATGGAGAAGAGCTAAAATTCGCTCTTAAAGGAATAGAAGATTACTGTTTTCTTATTTACCTTTTATTAGCACCTCTCCCATTTTAACATTATATAAAAAGACTTAGATCTAACTCAAATCCATATTGCTAACAAAAAATGTGATAGAAGATTGGAATTTGTAATTCAATATGTAATTTTGTCATTGGCTTGTTATATAACTTAGCATTTCCTTTAAGTTCAATAGAGTAAACTCTGTAAATAATCTAGTTATAAAATAGTGAATTCAGATCTGCTGATGAAACATTGAATAACACTTTTCAAAAATCCACTCTGCCATTAAGGTTTTAAACTGGCATTTAAAGAATAAAAAAAAAATCATTAAAAACTGAAGGAAATGTATATAAATATAAAATACAAATATGGTATAGTTTATAATTATAGTATATTACCAAAGTCAAACTGCTTTCGAAATTTATGCTAATATGAAAAAACCATATTTAAAAAGTGACAATATTTCAAATCAGTCAAGGCAACCCAGAGTATCCGGGATAGGCAATAAAGGTAAGGGGGAAAAAAGACAAAAAATGTTCTCTTTTTACATAGACCCTAGATTAACCAAGTGACTGCAGGAAGAATTCTAATTGAATTCCCAAATGCATGTTTTCAATCTACAGAACAATTCTGATCACCTCTGCAAGGAGAGAATGCTTTTTCCTCATTAGCTTTTTGTTCCATGAAAGGGATCATCATCCAAAAGCTGCCAATGTATACTAAGCACTGGGAATCACTCTACTTAGATTAACACACAATGTATAACTATCCACAGGGATGAAGAATCCATGCTGTACTTAAGAAATGTCCCTAGAATTCTATGCAGTATAGATCAATCAAAAAGAAAAAAAAGGAAGAAAAGCTGGTGGAGATCACTGTGAAGAAGCTGGGTCTTTAACATAGTTGCTGTAGCTAAAATATGAAGCAACTAAGAGACAGACACACACAGGAGAATGGTCTATTACCTGGATAGATGGGTATGTTCGGTTGTTGTCTGTGCTGTGCTCCCCTGGAATGCTGCCTGCTGATCGCCCTTCACATTTGTATCTAAAACGCATTCCCCTCTGCCTGGGTTGTTCAATTATCTCTATACGTGGTTTATTACCACCTGAAAATTTTAAAAGGGGGGAGGGTGAGATTACAATAGGAATGATAATGGATTTTGACCATTTTGTTTTTATAAAACAGTAGACTAAAAAATTTTTCCTCTCAGTATTAAATAACAAGGTTGAAATGTAATTATCAAAGATTGGGTGGCAAAGACACTCTTCTCTCTCATTCAAATTGAGCTCCCGTACAGTGTAAACACAAGTCATTCAAATCATATTTACTGGTTAGCACTTTATCGTTTAATATCTATAACTAATGCCAGAGTGAAGTTCTGTGATAACCACTTCAGAGATACCCACTTACATGAGGCCAAGCAGAAGGGTTTTCCCCCAAAATTCTCCCAAATGGGTCAAGAAGATAGTCTTCAGAAGTACAATATTATATTCCAAAAGTGACTTTGCTTGATTTTACATTAGACTTAACAGTGGACTAAAAGACTGTTCATTGAAAATGAAAATGTATTTAAATCCTTGCAGAAGGAAATGTTAAGTTTTTTATATCTCCATTGGAATCTTAAAGGACTTATACATAGTACAGCAAAACAAGTTCCAGAAGGGACTTTACGCTCAAAAGAATTTTCAGTCAGTCCCACCTAAAGTATAAGACACAACAGAGGAAAAGAAAATAATTATTTACTTTCTATAACGAATGTAATTCAAAATATATACCTTTAGAATCAATACGGATACACAGAACAACATGGACGAATCTCAAAATAAATATACTGAGTGAAAGAAGCCAGATCAAAAGTGCACATACTGTTATGATTCCATTTATATAAAACTCTAGAATATGTAAACGAATCTATAATGATAGAAAGCAGATCACTGGTTGCCTAAGCATAGGGGTGTGGAGTGGATGGGGAACTTTGGGGAATGACAGGCATGTTAATTACTTGATTGTGGTGATGATCTCAAAATTGTATAAATACATCAAAAGTTATAAAATTGCATACTTTAAACATGTGTAATTTATTGTACATTAGTTATATGTCAATAAAGCTGTCTAAAACATATGCACTTTTGCCCCCTCTTATTATCCAAATCATGGAAATGATCCAAATCATGGAAATGACAGTTTAATTAAAGACACTCAAGTGTGCTTACAAGTAGGGTACTTAGCAATGTATCTTTATTTAGGGGTATAAAGATGCCTTCCACTAAAAAAAAAAAACCCCAAATCAAAAACCAAAACCCCCCAAAAAACCCTCCCTCAATCAGTTTAGTGATTTCTAAATTCCCACAATTAAGATATCCATTTATTTGACTAAAGGCTTATCCTCTGTTATGATGCAAGCAAATCTTCAGAAAGGGTAACACAGTGGGTATTATCAGTGCAGTATGGGGAAGAGGCCTTTTGAGTACTACTCAGCCACATCTTAACATTGAAGACCCTGGAAATATCATATCTCTTAAGTTTCCTACTGTATAAAATGGAGATAATAACAATAGCACCTACCACACAGGGTTGTTGTGAGTATTAGAGATAACATGTGTTAGGTTCTTACCAAGTATCAGACATATAACAAATATTCAGTAAATGGTCTATTATTATTTTGAATGCTTTCTTGAAAACAATGATTTATAGTGATACCATGACAGTATATACACAACTGCTTCTTTCAAGGATCTTACAGAATAGTGAGGCAAACAACCCAAATTATTAGACTATAGAGGAACAAAATTTTGTTTATGCTAACAAAATTCTGCATAAAATTGTAATAAGAGCAAAAGAGTCAGGAAAGCCTATGTCAAAGGAAAAAAAGAGGTACTGAAGCAAAACGGTGGGGAGGGGGAAGGGAGAAACACAGGCATTCTAGAGAAAGGGAAGAGTGTGTCCAAAGGTGGAGGCACAGAAAAAAAGAGCCAAAGAATCACAATACAGCCCCAATGGAAATGAAGTACACTTCCACCCTTAGAAAGAGAACCAAAGCCAGAGTACATTTGGAGATTTGGATTTCATTCTATGAGCGACAGAGAATCCATGTAAGGTTTTATGCAGGGGAATCACATGATCTGATTGACATTTTAGAGTAAGAATTCTGGTGGCAGTGAACAGATTAAAAGAAAAAGAGAAAGCAAGGTGATCAATTTAGAGGCTGTTACAGTAATGTGGGCAATGATGAGAGTATTTCTGAAATTTGGTAGTGATAATAGGAATGAAGGATTATTTAAAAGATAAAATTGACAGTATTTGGTGACTGAACGAACATTAGGGTTAAGAGAAAGTAAAGAGTCATTGATGGCTCCATATTTTCTTTGTGTTACTAAGTAAAGTATTACTGGTATCTTTAATTTTATTCTGTTTGGTTTAGACTCCTTGTGCTTGAATTTACTACTTATTTGTTTATTCAAAAGGCAAAGAGCCAGGGAAAACTGACTTTAACCTAATCAAGTTAATAATACTTATTTCAGTTTTACTGAAAAATGTAACGCATGCAGATGAGTATTTCAATTTTGCATCCTTGGGAAGGATAAACTGGGAGATTGGGATTGACATATACACACTACAATATATGAAATAGATAACAAATAAGAACCTACTCTATAGGACTTCTCTGGTGGTCCAGTGGTTAAGAATCCGCCTGCCAATGCAGGGGACACAGGTTCGATCCCTGGTCTGGGAAGATCCCACATGCTGCGGGGCAACTACTGAGCCTGTGCTCTAGAGCCTGTGCGCCGCAACTACTGAGCCCACGCGCCACAACTACTGAAGCCCGCGCCCTCTGGGGCCCATGTGTCGCAACTACTGAGCCCGCGTGCTGCAACTACTGAAGCCCTCACGCCTAGAGCCCATGCTCTGCGACAAGAGAAGCCACTGCAATGAGAAGCCCGTGCACTGCAAGAAGAGTAGCCCCTGCTTGCTGCAACTAGAGAAAGCCCGTGCGCAGCAACAAAGACCCAGCGCAGCCACAAAAATAGAACCTACTGTATAGCACAGGGAACTCTACTCAATACTCTGTAATGACTTATATGAGAAAAGAATCTAAAAAAGAGTGGATATATATTTGTATATATATGTGTGTGTGTGTATATATATATATATATATATATGATTCACTTTGCTGTACAAGAGAAACTAACACAACATTGTAAGTGAACTATAATAAAAAAAGAAAAAATTTCACAATCTTATATATCCTTGTAGGAGTATTTAAAAGAAAGTACATTTTCCTCTGAAAACGAAGTTCAAAATACTCAACAGTATTTTTTAAGTAATATCTTAAATCATCTTTGTGGTTGAACTAAAGGTCAAATAAATCCCTGCCCACTGCTTACTTAAAGGTGTCTTAGTGGGAAGTTGATATAGAATGACATCACTAATGGTAAGTGGCTAACTTTTGAGGGAGGAGTGTGAATAAAAGTGCTAGGCTTAAAGTGAGCACTCAAATATTTCATTGGTTATACAACACTTCCTTAAACTAGAAAGTGTGTTTAAGAAAAAAGTCTGTAGACAAGAGAACAGAAAAGCAGTTGCTGAAAGATTAAATAAAACATTTTTTAAAGATTTTTAAATTCTAAAAATGACAAATATTAGTTATCATATAACATCAAGTACTTAAAAAAACCCTTGAACTCTATTCTTTCTATTGTAGAAGCTCTTTATTGGTAAAAAGTCTAACAACTAGAGTTTACTGTAATATTCTCCATTCCCCCAGCTGCAAATAATCTTCCCCTCCTCTAAACTATCACAGCGTTTTGTTTATGGCAATTATTGCAAATAACTGTAAGTTAGGGAAGACTCACTGTTTTATTTCTTCTTGAAAAAAAGCTACTTGTTTTATTTCTTCAAACAACTTGTTTTATTTCTTCAAGCTACCTAAAGGCAGGAATTGTGTCCTACTCATCAGTGCCTTGCACAGATATTCAGTAAATATCTGTGGAATGAATGACTGAAAATCTAAAGATCTTTGTTTGTCTACATTATGCAAACATTGAAAGACTATATTAGTAATTATTCACATTTTCCTTATTAGGTTGTACTACTAAGGAAAAAAACAGTGCTTTGTAAGTACTAAAATCGCTACACCTTCATACTCCTCATACCTATTCATATTCTAATTTCTTTACCTCTATTTATAATTTTAAAAAAATTCCCAGCTATAAATCATTTATAATATCATGCATCAGTACAGTGTATCAGTTACTTCCTTCCTCAGTACCCTGTTCTGAAGTGCCATCCTTCCTGAAGATAAAAAGTGGTGAAATGCAATCATCTATGGAGTGGAAGTTGGTAAAACATAAATCAGGGAACTGTAGAGAAAATGAGTACTCTTAACTAAGATTATCTCAAATCACTACAGTTTTGAAAATCATAGAAATGTCTTCAAAAGTTGGTTCTAAACAAGCTGATTACTGTACTTTTCTTTAACCAATATTATGCACAGCTGGGATTGACCCCTAAATTTTTAACAGTATTGTAAAATGCTCATACAGACCAGAATAACATTTGAAATATAGCCAAAATGTTTGCAAGATATATTTATGTTTTTATTTGCACTTAGGCAAGAAAGAGTGCTATTTGAGTTTTTAAGATTAAAAAAAGAAAGTACATTGGAAAAAAAAGAAAAAAAGAATGTACATTGAAATAAAAGATAAAAGTGGATGATCAACTGTCAGACAGCTAGCACTGGGAACCAGCATTAATTGCACAGTGAAAAAATGTTAATTATAGTAATTAAAACACTGTTTTAAGGCACTTTAATATACATTTCTCATTTGATCCTTTTAACTTTAGTCTCATAAAAACAGGACAGGAATTATTATCCCATTTTACAGTTGCTAAAACTAAAGTTCAAAATTATATAAAGTTATAAGAAAAAGAAATTATGAATGACATTAGCAAATATGACAGCTGGGATCCCAGGGGGGTCAAATTCAGAGAACAAGCAGCATAAAAGCAGCTGTGGATAAAGTCACAATAACTGATATAGCAAATAAGCTAAAATAAATGCAAATTAGTTTAAGAAGATAATGCATCTTGGCACAGGCAAGTGAGTATTTAGATGCAATGAAATTCCTGGAACAAAGTTCATATTGGGGCTATATATCAGAATCACCTAGGTAGCTTTTTCAAAAAACATACGTGTCCTGACCCCACCTGAGATCTGCTGAATAGAGATAGAAATCCATCTAAAGCCCAGACTTGTTTCTGAAAAAAACTTCCCAAGCAATTTGAACACACTCCTGATTAAGAACCATTGCCCTAAAACACAAAGAAGTGGAAACAACAACGCACATATCTGGAGAAGCAACCCCAAAATTCATGTACAAGGATGAACCGGGTGATGGACAGACTAGGTGGAGGAATTCTGACTACTTGTAACTCTCTCCCACTCTAAAAAGCTTACCCAAATGCAAGCAAGAGAAAAAAAGCACTATTACAGAGATAGCCTTCAACTGCACTGATATTTAAAATAAATCTTTTACAAAATTAATATTTTAACTATCATCAGTAACACTTCTTACAAGACAGCATGCCAATGTGTGAACACCACAGTTTTGAATAACTGACTAGAGACTGAATCTCGTTCACTGAAGTACAGGATAACAGATTGCCTGAGACCCAAAGGAGCAAATGGAGTTACCAATACATTCTTTTCTAAATATCACCTCTACTCACTTTGGAGAAAAAGAAAAGACCTGTTCTTCTTTCCTCAAACCCAACTGAATTATGTCGATGACCTTCTTTACCTTAAGACACAGGTGAGTTTTTCCATTTCTTCCCAATTATGATAAAAATTTAGAGTTACCACTCCCTACACAGAATTGTATCCAATTAACAAAAGGGCAAGGAAAACTCAAGTCTATTCCCATAAAGACAGAAAAAGACTAACACAGAAGGTGCAAAAGAAATCAAAGGAAGGATAAGTTATATCAATCAAATTAGCAAAAGGACACGTGGTTTATTTACTAAGCAATTTTTTATTTACTTTCTTCTTCAGAATGCTTACTATCATTTAAGTGGACAAAGGAGACTGCCTCCAAACATCACTGTCAACTTCTACTCCCCTAGTTTAAATATACACAAAACCACTTCAAATTATTTAAAAGTAAATGGGCATGCTTACATATTCTTGAAAGATATATTTTCTATCTAGCATCTGGTCTAGTCTATTTTTATGAAACCTTAAGGTTTCGTAAAATTCTAGAATCATCAGGATACTTAAACAGTATTAAGTGCCAAGTGTTTCTAGGAGCTCCTGTTTCCTAGAGGTCTGAGTCCCAAAACAGCTCCAGTACAGAAGAAAACTAACATTTATAGGCATGCATTACCTCATTTGCTCCTATTAAGACTCTGCAGTAGTTATACCCATTTTCAAATCATAGAGTGGCAGAACTGGAATAAAAACCAACCCAGGTCCATCATGGACTAAAATCCAGGTTTACTCTAATATATCAGGCTGACTCTCTCATCTGGGCTTTAAGAATCCAAGTAAGGGAATTTGCAGATGAGTATTTGACTGATGTATGCACCACAAGGTAAATAAAATATGTAAAAAATTTTGGCAAAGAGATTTTACTGCTAGAGATTCCACTGCCATTGGGGTGTGGGGTGGAAGAATAAGTCCTGAAAAAAAATTTTAACTTCCAGGGTGAAAAAAGTAGAGAAACTAAATTAAAAACAGATGGCAAGGCCAAATCATCTGTCTGGATTAAGACCGTCAGATTTAAAAATAAAAATTATAGGATGCCCATTTAAATATGAATTAAACAAATAATTTTTTACTGTAAGTATATCCCATGCAATTATTTGGGTCATGTGCCTACAAACACAATCATTTGCAGAAAACACAGATGAAAGATGGAACAAAAGGAAATTCTGAGTCCCTCAAATTATATTTGAGAAAGATACTACACACACGCCAGATGTTCCCAATTATGAGTCATCATGATTCCTCCCTAGTCATTTCACTTGCTCATTCCCTTCACTCTATGTCTATCATATATCATCTTAATTCTTTTATACTACTGTTATCTCTACATTTTCATGTGTTGCACTTCTGAAGCAGCCTTCATGTTTATGTGTTCAGTCTTCTACTAAAAACAATAAATCACTGTCTTTACCTATCAATTCCAGCTCCAGTTTTTCATTAAAGATTAAATTGTGTCATACTACATTGAGTTTTTCCCCTTTACTCAAGACAAACAGTTCTCTTGCAATTTACACTACAAAGTTGGTAAGTAGTGCAAAGTTGGTAAGCAGTACACGATTTCTTCGTGTACTTCCTATTATGTGACATAGCAGAACTATACTAAAGAAAACTGTGAATATGCTATACATAAAATAGATAAGCAACAAGGATTTACTGTATAGCACAGGGAATTATACCCAATATTTTGTAATAACCCATAATGGAATATACCCGAATATGCAAAAAAACCCCGAATCACTATGCTGTACATGTGAAACTAAACAATACTGTAAATCAATTATACTCCAATTTAAAAAATAATAATTTTTAAAACAGTAAATAAAAATAAATTACCTAAATTTTAAAACATATTTTACCAAATACAGTACTATTTATTAGTAAACAGAGCTATGCGCACACAGGAACATTTGCACTTTCTACTGGAACAATGAGAAGCTTTAAATTCAGACAAAAAAAGAGCTAATTTTATTTATATTAAACAGGATAGAATCATAAATATACAAGAGTAATGACTGTCTATGCATACCTTGGATAGGACTGAGAACATTTTTCTTAATGCCTGTCCTCATTAATTGTGTCAAAAGACTGGAACCAAGGTGTAATTTTTTTTTAAAAAAGCAATAAAGACAGCTTAATAGAACTTGAGCTGTGAAATCCTAAATAACATAATTGAACAAAATTTAGAATCATACATAAAGTCCCAGTTATTCATGGTACTTATATAATTTTATTTATGAAATAATGATCTGTTACTTTCACATTATACAGATCATATATTCAACTACAGACACCTATTTACATATTACATCCGGTAAGAAATGGTCTTAAATGCTTGGTAATCAATAAAAAATACTTTTTGAGGTTTTATACAACTTTACTACAAACAGACTCTAAACTAGACAATGATAGACTAATTAAGCAAAAGTTTTTTTGTCGTTTTTGTTACTCTTTCGGTTAAATTACTGTTTCAGAACAGGATGGGAGTTTATAATTTTGTGAACCTTTTTGTCTAAGGTCTTTACTGAGTGATTAAGGACACCCAGACTTTTCCTCAGCAGTTTTCAGACAACTGAATTACAACTTAAATAACTTGTTATATTTTAAACACTCCCATTTTAATGCAACTCCAGAAAACAGGAAAAAAGAAAGAAAAGAAAATTACCCTACAACTTTCCACTCCTTTAAATTTTTTCCCCTTCAATTTAGGAAATCGGTCCTCACAATAGGACAAAATATAGTGTCATTAAACAAGTTTAAATTGTATCACATTTTTAAATGATGTGGGTCTTAGGATACTCTATATAAATGGCTAATTATTTTCTTTCTCTTTTGAAAGAATTAGGAGTATTACATTCATGCCATATATCAACAAAGTTTGGTTAAATTACCAGAAGGCTGATTTTTTTTTTCTTATAATGCTGGCCCTTCTTTAACTTTCATACAAAATCTTTCTGATAATCAATAAATTAACCAAGTGTTTCAAGTCACTTTGCGCTTTTAATTTATACACGGTTTGAATTTATGAATTTACAAGATTATCTGAAAGTTCAGGGTCACTTAGGTGGCTAAAGAGAAAGTTGAAATATCTTAAACTACATTTGTATTCTCACATGAAAACCACAGACAAACTGAAATCAAATGTCATGTGAACCACCCCAATTTCCTTCACAGCCTACAGCACTAGCTATGGATTTGTTCTGCTCAACCCTTTAAAAAAAAAAAGTCCTTTATGCTTTCTACTTCCTCTTCTCCGCTAGTCATCAGCCTTCTACTGAGGGTCACTGAACCAGGGAGTTGGGAGGATGCGGGTCAAGCATAAACAAGCCTCCCTCTGTAGCCTCCTAGCACAGGGTTAATCCACACTTTTAGGCCCCCCAGCCTCTGCTCACGCTGCTCCCTCTGCCGGGAAAGTGCCCCCATAAACCTTGCCAGACTTCTGTAAAGATCCCACTCGAATGCAGTCTACCTGATTTACTTCCCTTAGATTACAGGCAGACCTAAACCATGGCTGGATGTGAGGCTCCCTCCCTCACCCTTTAAGCAGTTTCTTGGTAAACTGGTTTCCCCCAAAGCAAGAGATCCACGCATTTATTGACTAAAAGTAAGTATTCACATAAGTGATAGAAAGTTGTTTTCATTCTTACTCATATTTTAAAGCACGGGGATTCTAAAAATCCTCTTTTCCCCTTCTTTCCAACAAAGGAAAACAAAACAAAACTCGACTTCTGTTCCATAAATTAGAAAGTACGCACTTTACAGTAAAAATGATTCACTTTGTTGAAGGAACATTTCCACGTAAGACCTGTTAAAATACCACTGGTGATTTTTAAAGCCGCACCGCATTTTGTCCAACTGTCAGCACGACAGCGATCACCTCTTGGCAACTGATGAAATTAAACTAAAAAAGATAGACCTCTCCTGAGGTCGGAAGGTTCCTCGTTCCTGTTCTAAAACGTAAAACCACCATTTCAATTTAAATCAATTTTTAAATACGGGAAATCTTCGTCCTCCTTTATTTAGATTCTTATTACTTCCCTAATCCAAAAACCAAGTCTTTGGGAAACTCTAAGGCTTCGGCTATTATAATGGCATCAAATTACAGAGCGTGACTTTGATTTCGCACGCAAACCCTGAACCAGCTTACTTTTTAAAAAGGTTGACAGTTTGCCAGAGGCAATTTTAAAGACAGAATGAGTCACAACCAAAATTGAGCGCCCGAAACCCTGAGCGGCAAGACCCTCGGACGCTCTCCTCCTCCGCCCCCGCCGTCGGGGCCAGGCTCGCGCCCGGCCCTCGGTAGCCCGCGCCGAGAACACTCACCTGAGGCCATGGCTCAGCTCACCGCGCCGCCCCGCTCCGAGCGTCCGGACCCGAGGCCGCTGCAGTCAATCAGCCCGTTAGTCAGTCAGGCGGCCAAGGGACCTCTGCCGGCGGGATCCCCAGTCCCCCTGACCACCCCCGGGGCCTCCTCTTCCTCCTTCCCGCCCTCCTCTGGGTTTGCGGCTCACACCTTCCCACCAGCTTAATTCTCTCGCTCCGGTCACCCGGCGTTGCCCGTCCCGGCTGCAGGAGCCAGGAGGCGGAGCGCTGCTACAGCTGAGGGCAGGTCGGCCCGAGAGGCGAACAGCCCAGCGGGGGGGGACTTCCCGCGGCTGACGTAAACTCCTCACCGCCGCTTCCCCCGGGCTGGGGCGGGGGCGGAGCGTCTTGCGACCGGCCCGCGCCCCACCCCGCCCGTGCCCGTGCCCCGCCCGTGCCCCGCCCCCGCCCGCTCTCCCGGAGCCCGGGTGGGCTTGGGACCTCGTCGCGGAAGCGCGAGCGCGGGACCTTCGGGAGCGCAGGGAACGCTGGGAGCCGGGAGGTGACGGCCCCGAGCGTGCGAAAGCCGCCGGCTCCTGAGAAATCCCCCTCCTCCAGGGTGTTCTTGGACGCGTGGCTTAAAGTTCAGGAGCGGGTGGGAGGGTGCGGTGACGTCTAGAGGGCCGGCCGCCCGCGAGCACTTGGGGGCGGGCCGGGCGGCGAAGTGGGGCCCGTCCTCCCAGCCTGGGGTAAGGACAGCTGGGGTTTTCGTTGGGTGGTTCCCCCTCTTCCTGATTTCGCACATGCAAATCCCCGCCCCCGCGCAGGCGGGCGTCCCGGAGCGCAGTCGAGGGGAAGTGCGGAAGCTGCAGCGGCCTCTGCGCGCCTGTAATTAAGGTATTTGCATACGGGGACCCCAGCAGTCTGATCTTATCCCTTTGCATCATCTCAATTGTTCTGTTAACGTACTTTACAAACTAAAACTTTTTAAACTCGTGAGGTCCGCAGTGTGAGTTCGTTGCCTCATCACTCAGTGTGCTGGAGATTAATGACGTGGACACTGCCTTGGGGTTTGACAGAGTTAGCACGTGGAAAGGAGGACGAAAGTTTAGTATGCTAAAGGAATCTAAGTTAACTTTGTTTCCTTCATGTGTAAATAACCTTCTATGTGTCAGTTTAGTTATCTTATAATGTATTATCCTCATTTTATAGATGAGGCAGTCAGGGTTCAGAGAAGTTAAGTAACTTGTTCATACCTCAGAATGCTACTAAAAAAAAAAAAAGAACAGCTTAAACTCAGGGTTTTCTGACTCCAAAAGCTCCATGCTCTTTCCACTATCCTTTACTGCCTAAAGTAAGTATGGAGGGGCAATGGGAAGTATCAGCCATACAGGTGCCAAAACTGGAAGACCCAGTTGGGGAAATAATTAAAAATAAACTCTTCTGCCACACCCAAAACATCCTCTCCACAAAATATAGAAAAGTAGAAAAGAATGAAATAGTTTTATTATAGAATAAGCATTAAACCGTACTGCGATGCACTAAAGAGATTGCAAAGAGAAGAAATCTCACTCGTTTATATAATCAGACAGATGCAATCAATTACATACCTGTTGTCCTTCTACCAAGAAAAAAAAATAGGAAGTTACATCTTGGAGCCAAAAGCCAAGGTTTAAACTCCCACAGAGACAGAGAGATGGGGCACCGTCCTCCTTGATATTCACGTTTCAAAGAGATAGCTCAAAGGCCCCCAAGAAAGATCTTAAGGGGGTACAAAACTGGCAAGAAACTTGTTTAGCTTTTTAAAAGGTGTACATACGTCTCAGAGAAATCATTTGTAGCTTCTATTTTTCTAAAAGAATTGCTAAATGAAAAGAGAGGGGGTAATGTTCTTTGTTATTTTTGGCACCAGGCAGATTTTTAAATTTAATTATTTTAGACTTGTATTCACCCTTACAACCCCAAATGTGAGAACTATATGAATGAACTAAGCATAAATGTTTAAGAATTCAACAGGAGGATGAGAGACGAATAGGAATGGAAAATAGTTTGCGTGTATTTGTTTATATTTCACCTCCAGAAATTGATTGGTTTTAGGTGCTTCTTTTTTTTTAAGATGTTGGGGGTAGGAGTTTATTAATTAATTTATTTTTGCTGTGTTGGGCCTTCATTTCTGTGCGAGGGCTATCTCCGGTTGTGGCAAGCGGGGGCCACTCTAAATCGCGGTGCGAGGGCCTCTCACTAGCGCGGCCTCTCTTGTTGAGTAGCACAGGCTCCAGACGCGCAGGCTCAGTAGTTGTGGCTCACGGGCCTAGTTGCTCCGCGGCATGTGGGATCCTCCCAGACCAGGGCTCAAACCCGTGTCCCCTGCATTAGCAGGCAGATTCTCAACCACTGCAACACCAGGGAAGCCCATAGGTGCTTCTTAATAGGACGCAATAATGTTTGCTTACTGAAGAGTTCTGGGCCAAACAGAATCTGTCCCAGTTTCAGGACCCCAAACTAGTCCTAAAACCACTCCGACTATGAAATCACAAGCTGGATCTTATGAGATTTAGTAACACTACAGAATTTTGAATTTATTTTATTTTTATTTTTCAAAGACTCACTTATTTAAACCTCCTCACTAATAGGATGGCATGTTTGTATTTATTTCCAGGGCTATTTGTCACATGAAGAAGCTATAGATTTATATTATCTCACCTTTTTAAAGGCTTTTTTGAAAATCCTTTCACTATTTTAGAAACTTGCTGAACCCTTTTTTCAAAGATCCAGTCCACATCTGAAAAGTGAAAATATTTCACTTGTGCAGGATAAACTTAATTAGAAAAAATGGAAGATTACCAGACAAGGTGATGGATGGACTAAAAACAACAACAAATGTGAGTAGTGGTTTTAATTTTTTTTCAGACTTATGTGGGGGGAAAATAGTTTATTACTGTAAAGATGATTGGCAGCTAATTGGTGGGGATTATAATGTAACACATGGTATTATTCCTCAAGGGCTTACAGTTTTTGCTACTATTTATTCAGTCCAACAAATATATATTCTGTGCCAGTTGCTCTTTAGAGTGTGGCACGAACACTAATAACAAGATAATCAACTACTCCTCAATTAAAAAAAAAAAAGACAAAATCTCTGCCTTCATGCAGCTCTGTTTCGCATGAAAGACATCAAGCGTGTTAGCAAATAAGATCATCTAAAATACTATTATTAAACCATTTTGTTTATTGCTGTCAAGAAAATGAGGTAATGGGATAGAAAGTGACTGAGGGAGAGGGATACTCTGAGGAGGTGACATTTGAGTGGAGTCCTGAGGAATAAGAAAGAGACATCCACAGAAAGATTCAGGGAAAGAGCATTCCAGTGTGAGGAACACCAAGTACGAAGTCCTTGAGACAGGAAAGAGCTTATGTGAGGGACTGAAACACCACTGGGACCAAACCAAACTGAATGAGGTTGAAGAGATAAGCAGGGGCCAGATCAATGTAGGGCTTTGTAGGCCATGGTAATGAGGATGGATTTTATTCCAGGTGCACACAGGAACCTACTGGAGAGTTTTAAGCATGTGATTGATTTATGATTACATTTCCAGATGTTTACTCTGGCTGATGTGTTAAACTGCTAGGGGCACTGTATGCTAACCAGGGGCAGGAGTGAAGGCAGAGTGGCAGAGAGGCTGTTGCAGTTGTCTAAGGGAGAAGTAAAAGTTGTTTGGATTTATGTTTTAGCAGAGGAGATGGGGGAAAGGGGTCATATTCAGTAAGATTCAGGTGTCAGAGCCTGAAGGACTTGCTGATGGATTGGATGCAGATGGAAGGGGAAAAAAAGGAATCAGGGATAGCTCACATTTTTGGTCCGAGCAACAAGGTAAAAAGGAAGGCTGGTGAGAGAAAGGTTTGAGAGGGAAAACCAGGAGTTGTGTTTTAGACTTGTTAAGTTACAGGTGCCTATTAGATATCTGAGTAGGTAGTTGAATATATAGAACTAAGCTAAGGGGAGAGGTCAAAGGTAGAAATAAAGATGTGTGAGTCAGCAGCATTTCATTTAAAAAAAGGAGCACAGAGGAAAAAAATTAAAAAGAACCCAAGAAGGCTGGTAGAAAAGAAGGAGCTGCCAGTGAAAGAAGAGGAAAACCAAGAGACTGTTTCAAAAAGAATGGAAGTGGTCAGCTGTGTTAAATGATGCTGAGAGACTGCAAAAGATGAGAATAAAGAAATGACCTTGGATTCGGCAAGATGAAGGTCATCAGTAACCTTGATGAGAGCCATGTCAGTGGAATGGTGGGAATGAAAGCTGAATTGGAGGAGGTTGAGAAGAGAATGATGGAAAGGATGAGTATACACAACTCTTTGAAGACTGTTCAAGGAAACAAATGGGGCAATAGCTGGAGGGGGATGTGGGGTTGTCTTAGGCTAAGGGCTGTGCTACAACCTGCATCTCACCAGGTTAACACAAAGGTTATTTATCACTTGCGTCACAGTCTAATGTGAGTTGAGTGGCTTTCTTCCAGAAGTTATCCAGGAACCTAGATGCCTTCTATCTTGTAGCACCAACATGTGGATTTTAAAGTCATCTTGGAAAAGGAAAGAGGGTAGAGAATCACGAATGGGAGATTTTTATGTGCCAGACCTGAAAGTGGAATACATTCCTCTGGTAACAGTCTGTTTTCCATATGGTCTCCACAAGGGGGCTGAGAAATATAATTTGAGAAATGGAATTTAAATATGTGCCGTGGAAGTAGAGAAGAAATTGGATATGAGTAATCACTAGCAGTCTCTGGTACTGCAGTTTTGTTTTGTTTATAGAGGGTCAGATTAAGGCATGTTTGTAAAAGATAAGACTGACTCACTAGTGAAGGAGAAATTGGTGATGATTGAGAGGAAGGGAGTAATGAGTAAGGGAGAAAGAATGAAATCTAAAGCACAGGTTATAGGATTGGCCATAGATTGGAATGGGGACACTTCCTCTGTGGTAATAAGAAGGAAAGTAGAACCTAGTAGACCTGATGGTATAGAGATGAAGTAGTCAGTCAAATTGCATTTTTTTTTTTAGTGAAGTATGAGGTATGAGGTTATGTTCAGCTGAGAGTGGAGGGCAACAAGCAAGAGGAGAAGCTGAAAATGCAGTCTGTGAGAGTGGAACATTAGATGTGTTTGGCTGTACTGAATAATCATTTGAAATTTGTGGTCATAAATATAATGTCAGACCAGTACACAGTATTTCTTGTATGGTTTTTAACCCAGGGGATATCAGTGGGTTTATTTTTGAAGAAGAAGACAAAGAACTAGGAAAATTTAAGTCTAAATGGGAATATGAGGGAGGGATGTTAAGTACTTCTCAGCTCACACACACTCCCTGGGTGATGTCACCCATTCCCATTATTTTACCTATGGTCCCAGGACCAT